TCTCTCCGCCTTCTGCTCCCCCGAGGGCCAGCATGGCCGGGCCGGGCGAGGACTCGCGGCGGCGTGGGCTCTAGCTCGGCTCCCCCACCCTTCCTGCGGGGAGAGGCGGCGGGCTGCGGGGCGGGCGATGCGGCCGCGGCTGCTCCCCAGTGCGCCCTCCGCCCGAGTCGCCGCGGCTGCTCTTCTCCGCTCGCCCCATCCCGCCGCCAGGAGTTGATGCTGCTGTCGCTGCTGAAGCCGGGGCTGATGGATGCCGGCGAGTGCCGCAGTGCTTAGCGTCCCCGCCTCCGGCTTTGCTGGTAGGAGCCGGCTGCTCTTTCTTCTCTCTTGCTTGGGGTTTTATGGAAACGATAGAGACATTTTTTATTTTATCCTCCACTCTGCCCCCTTCCCCCACTCCACTGTTGAAATGTTCATTATCAAAGGAGATTTGGGTTGGGTTTTTTTTTCTTCCCGTGGCAAGTCCGCTGAAATAAAGGGCAGAAAGAAGGGAGAAGTTGGGGGTGGGGTAGGGTGAGGGGAGCCCACGCGGGTGCCAACGCCACCAAAAATCCTGCTGGTGCCTTATGAGATCACGATGTATCTGGGCGGGGGACTGGGGAAGGTGTGGGATCTATCTGCAGAGTCGCCACTTAATTGAATCATAACAATTTTAAATACAATTTCACAAATGTCTTTTTTTTTTTAAATAGCATCTTTGAATAAGCAGAAGGAGAAATAAGCTCTTTACCCCACCTCTTTCTCTTTCTCTCCTTTTCTTTCTGGCAAAGAAGCTTCTTTCCCCGCCCTGGAGCTCAGCGCTGAAGAGCCACCTTATTATTAATCAGAATTCCCATCGTTATCCCTGGCAGGCGCATCCTTCACTGGGGACCGCAGAAGCATCACGGTGCTGGGGCTGAGATGTGCGTGGGGGTTGTTTTTGTTACATCTTGGAAGAGAAGAAAAGAGGACAGTACCACGATCAGCAACCCCCACTCGTGCTGACTAGGAAGGCTCCAGGGTGTTTGGTTAGGAGAGAGGAAGGGCAGGAACAGGAGGGATGGACTAGCCAGAAGGCCTTTAAGGGAAGAGGGAACCCAGTGGGACTTTGTTTTATAGGGAGTCTGGGGAAGAAGTTTATATTCTTTACAGAAAAGCTGAGGTTAAACGGGAGCAACAGGGTATTGGATTGGCCATCAAGACAAGCCATTTCCTGTAAAGGAGAGGAAAGGGGCGGTTGTGAGGACTGGGGTCCAAGTGTGGTTTTGGAAGGTACAGGTTTGCAGTGGGACAGTCAACAAGAGAGGAAGGCTTGGACACCAGCAGAACAATGACTCATTTACAAGCCGGTCTCTCTCCTGAGACCCTGGAGAAAGCCCGACTGGAACTCAATGAGAACCCGGACACTCTGCACCAGGACATCCAGGAGGTGAGGGACATGGTCATCACTAGGCCTGACATTGGCTTTCTCCGCACGGATGATGCCTTCATCTTGCGTTTCTTGCGGGCCAGGAAGTTTCATCACTTTGAGGCCTTCCGCCTGCTGGCCCAGTACTTTGAGTACCGACAACAGAACCTGGACATGTTCAAAAGCTTCAAGGCCACTGACCCAGGCATCAAACAAGCACTGAAGGATGGCTTTCCCGGGGGCCTGGCCAATCTGGACCACTATGGCAGGAAGATTCTAGTCCTTTTTGCTGCCAACTGGGATCAGAGCAGGTAAATTCTATAATACCATACTCCTATCAGGCATCCTCATTTTCTAGACTGACCTCGAGGGTAGTCTAGACGCTTCTGTTCATGTGGGAAGGAGAGAAGAGAAAAGGGAAGTATGGAAGGGGTTTGGAGTGAGTCCTCTGGAATGGGGGAATCTTTATGTGCTTCCTAGACCACATATCTGCTGGCAATTTAAATCACTCAGTTCCTAAATAAAGCACCTAATTTACCCACCTCTTAAATAAGTTTTCTAATGTGTGGAGAAGTGCTGAGAAATGAGTATGAAAAGGGAAACAACTTTTCCTGCTTCCTCCTAGAGAAATGTTTCAGGTAGATTCATAAACATCCTCATCAATACGTCATTGTCATCATCAGTATTATCATCATCATCATCATATTATCATAGCAGTAGCATACCCATCATCCTCTCCTTGGTATTGAAATCCTCGTACTGTAGATCAAGTAGCTTTATCACTTAGGAACTTTTCTGCTTGGGGATGTGTACATGAAGGAATAACATGATGTGTGTCACGTCAATGAAAAGAAAGACTTGTCCCTCTGTCACTGAACATGCTTACCGCCAACACTGAAAATAAATGTTGACTAGCTTGCTTGTTCTACACCTGTCACTAATCTAAAGAGTATGTTGCCTGCCTGGTGTGATTTTTCATCCTTCGGAAGAAAGTGGAAGAATTCAGATATGCTGGTTGCTAGACTTTTGTTGAGCTCTCTTGCTAGTTCATGAGGGACAAATCAGACGATTCTTATTCAATTTTATATTTTTATAGAAAAATGTCAAGGATTCCTCCTTTCTCAATCAGACCACAGATCAAAACATATGAGAAAATAGAAAGGCTTTGGGATAAGATGGTTTTAATTATGTTCACAGTTAAATGCATTTTATGGGACTTAAAAATGCAACCCAAGCCGTGAATCACAAGAAGCTGGTTCTTGAAACATTAGTGTATTTTTAGTAAAGTAAACTGTGATTTTTGATGCACCTGGTAAGTCAGAGCATCTTTGGAGCAAAAGTAAAAGACTTTCACAAATGTTCTTATGATATAGGAATTTATAGGTGTTCCTGTAGGGACTTCAGAGCTTTGGGGTTTTGCTGTGTAAATTAATATTTTTAACAATATTTTTCCCTTTAATTCACTACTTTCCCCCTGAAATGCCAAGAACTACTCTTTTTAATTAACTAAATATAAAGAACAACTATTATCCAAAAGGCTAAGCTAAGAAAAACAGAGAGAAAGTAAGCTATTGAAGGGAATAAAGTTTTGCTACAAACGTTGTTTAGTTGTAGAGATTACTTTCTATAAAATTGCAGAGTTCAAAGGGCTACACACAGAATTCCATATTTGCAACACTATTTCTCTTTAAATTTTTTTTAACTGAAAAGTGCACTGTAAGATCATTCAAATGAATAATGGTGTGTATCAAAGTGGAAAACTTTCCATTTAATAGTCATTAGGAAAGGAGCTTTCTTTATTGAGTGAAATAGGAACTGCAAAAATGCTACATTTAAATATGTCTTGAAATCTTTAATAGGGATCATCAGGAAGATAAATAGCATTTATGTAAATATCAAACCTATTTTTGATTCTGTAAGAATTAATATTTATGCTAGTTTAGAAACAAAGTGTAAGTCACTTTTGTGTTTCATATACATGATAATTCTGTATTTGCTAATGAAATTCTATTTTGGTTATTTTTATGATTATATACAGAATAGGTTGCTTACAAAAAAATCTTTATTGCAAATCAACAGTAGGGGATGATTTCTTGATACATATGCAGGATTATTTTAATCAAATCTCACCAACACTTTAAATATCTTTCTGTGTTTTTAAAGTTACAAATGAGAAGTTGTAGAAATAGAAGCATATCAGGATCTGTATACCATTGTGATTTAAATTTTTATGGTTGAAAATGAATAGGTGAAATAAAGAATTTATAGTATATAAGGGCCAAAAATATAAAAGTTAGAATATGTCTAATAGTCAGTTAACTTTAGGCTTACTATGTTCTTAAAAAAAATAATGATAGGGTATTACAATTATCACAAGAGTCCAGAATTAAGGTTGCATTGTGGAGTGGACTGGGGACAGTGGGGGAGGGGGTGCAGGTGAATTGTATACCAATGAAAGAATTTTTCTTTTACTTTTCAAAGAGAGGAGCTAACTGGGGGTGAGGGTTGAGCAGGGGAAAAAGTGCAACAATGAATGGAAATCCAAAATCTCTGTCAATTTTCATTAAAATGAATAAAAAAAAATTCCCTCTTCCTCAATCCCAAATCTGCATATATTAGTTACAGGAATTAGTGGCTAAATTGGCCTAACCTTTTGAATACCCCCCTGTGAACCCTAATCACTGATATATTTGCATGACAACACTCTGATCACTACTCTGTAACCTTCAGGTCAGTTTCCTCTCTGTCACTGCCAGAGTACCATCAGCTTTGTCATGTCTTTGGCCTGAACACCTTTCTTTTAACTATACAGCTTTAAGGTTTATCTGACTTGACTGTTGTTGTGGACTGCAAGTCATAACTTAGCCATTCATAGCTGACCCTCCAGTGCATTTTCAGAGCCAGTTGAATGGGAGGAGATTGTTCATCTTTCCCTTACAGAGTAGCTAGTGGATTTGAACCATATACCAGTGGCTTGGCAGTGCAACCCCTTACCCCAACTACAGGAGTCTTTACCACTTTGGATGTTTAACTTACTATTGCTTTGCTAAGTGACCAAGCTATGTGTAAGATGTACTAGGTGCTCATCACTCCTTATTTCTGTGAATAAAGTATCTTTATCTCCCTTGCTTCAACCATGACAAACTTGGATATCTTCAGAAGAATGTACAACCAAACATAATTTTGACTGCATTCCTTGTTTGGTTACCAAATCATCTTGATTCCAACCACTTCTATTTTTTCTTAAAGTATCATTGTTTTAAAGAAATGATGGATAGAAAATATAGATAATAATATAGGAACATTTCAGAAATAAGATAAAAGAAAATGTCTCCCTTTAGAAGTAGTTTATTTCAACTTCTTAAATACAAAGGGAAATATTATTAAGAAAAAAAAGTGGATTGGGTCTCTGAAAGAAGTGATCTGTATAATAAAACAACATTTAGCCTATGTCATCATATTTTAACAAGACCTAAACTTCAGTAAAAGCAAGAAATATTTTTTGAACACAGAATTATGCACTAAAGAAAACAAAGTAGGAGGTTATCTGATATATATTTTTTCTATATTAAATTTATAGAATTGTTTTCCATGCTCCCAGGAAACTGAAAACAGTAGATGTATGTGAAACAGACAGTGACTATAAATAAAATGTTTCTTTCTACTGCAATATAGTACAGGTCAGCTGAGGTTATTGTAAAGTATGGGACCACTTCCAGAGCCATTAGGAGAGACATCAGGTCTTCATCAAGACTGAGGTAAAATCAGATGTAAAAGAATTGAAATGCTGAAAGGTAATCCCATCAGAATGACTTCTGTGTGGTTTGTGGCTCTTTAAAAACAAAAAAAAATGTATAAGATAGGCTCAAGTGATTTATTACATTTACTGAGAAGTCTGTGCCTTTGAAAAGATCCTTATGATTTTCTTTTCTTGAGATTGTCTAACAGAATTACTGGAAACAAAAGTAAACTCTACAAAGTAGCTACACTCTCTGCGTTACATTACTTTCTTAGGGATAGCTATGTGCCTAGGGCAGGGTAGATAGTTTTCCATAGTTCACCAGGTTTATCAGCAGACTGTGGGATGCTCTGAGTGCAGGAGAGACAGAAAGCAATACGTCTAGTAAAGGAAGTTTGGTTTGGAATGAAAATATATCAAAATCTAGACTAGTATGAGAGCAGTTCTCTGAGAAGTTGAAAGTCAGTGGCACCATTGTAATTAATGGGAATGTTTAATGAGTAAAATTGTGTTACCTGAAATATAATGATGGTCTGTCATCTGAGAGCCTGTAAATTGTTATTTAGCTTGTAATCCTCATTAGATTCATAAAACAGTAATGTAAGCAGGAGTGGCATCCACTTGCTAAACAACTTGCCTCTGGAAATCTCTATGAACTTTGATAAATGTCAAGAGTTGTAGAGGAACCTCAGGCCTTTTGTTCATAGGTCACTATGAGTTGTGCTCGACTCAAAGGTAATTAACAGCAACAACAACAACATACATTACTATTAGAAGATAATGATATACAACTAGAACAAAGTGATTCTTAAGATAGTGGCAATTCAGAAAGCACCAATGTTTTGAACTGTTTTGCCTTGTCATAATGGATATTGTCTATCACTTAATGCATTGAAGTTTAGGAAGGATTAGAAGATAGGAAGAAGGTTTCCTGAAAATTCTAGTTCTCAGTAGCTGTAGGTGTGTGGTTTTTTTCCTTTTCTTTTTTGTATTGTGTGAATTTTAAATAAAAACTCAGAAGATTATGTAAATGATCAGCATTTTGTGGCTTCAGTTAAAAATATGATTATGTTTCTTGTTTACAGAAATAGTGCAAAATGAAAGAAGGGAAAGCAATATCAGCCTTGAGATTAAAAAACAAGTGCTATAGACTATACAGATTTGCTTTCATTTGAGTCACAAAGCTTTACTGTTTACTGGACATATACTTAAGAAAGAAACGAAAAATAACTGTTGTGTTGTTGTTGTTGTGTTCTATAGAGTTGGAACCTACCCATACTTGACCCTCTAGCTGGTTTTCAGAGGCAGATGATCACACTGGAGCAGCTTATAGATTTGAACTGCTTTTCATCAGGATTGTAGCACAGTTTCTTGCCACTAGGCCATCAGAGCTCCCTAGAAAAACCACTAGGACTAGAATAAAACAGACAGGACTATTTGAGTATTAAGAAAAAAAAAATTCATACTCGGTAATCTTAAAAACAAAGCACTAGCAATAACAAGGAGGTGTTTTGTATTTTAAGATTTCAACTTATCTTACGTGGTTAAAGTACTCAAATACTTCTCAACATT